TTCTGTTAGAACCATGCCTCACTACTTTTGTATTTCACTGTAGATCACCTCTTTATGAAATAGTTTCTTTAATTTTTTTTTCCAAAAAAAATATATATGAAGTGATCAGATGATTGGGCAGGGAGCAGGAGAAGTAGCAGAAAAACAGTTGGAAGCTTGCAAGTGTGCTGTATCCTTAGATGTTTCTATAGCTTTGCACTTTCTGCTATTACAAAAAATCTCTCTTAATCCTCTGGCTGGGTTTTCATGGCAGTTTTCTATGAGAGGTTCCTCCCAATTATAGAGTATGGGAAATGTGTCAAAAATTTATGGAGATGATGCCTGAATGCTTGGCTTGTTTCTCTTCTCTTCACAGCTTGGGTCACTGACTGTATGGTCAGCTTTGCATCTGTTGAAAAAGTGCATATGTACATCACATTGTGCTTGTTATAAGCACAGAACATCAAATATCAAATGAAATTTCCGAACACCAACAGATGCTGAAAGCAACTCAAAATGAGATCTATTTTTGTAATGTTTGCATATTATCTTTCACACAGAGAGAAATCTAGAGATATATATTTTTGTCCCTGTGTCTTGTTCTGCATCTGAAATGTTTCCCCTTTCAAACTGGTAGCATTCACATCTGTCTCTCTTCTTCAAATTACAATTTCCTTTTCTTGTTTCACATTTGCCCATGTGCTTTATTTTTAACCGAGAGATGAGATCACCTTTGGATAGACTCCAGACACTTGTCCTGTTCAAAATGCATGAGAGTCCATGAAGCTCATATAAAAGGAAAAATAGGGTATAATCAGTTCACAATCACAGTTGTGCCTGAGGCTACTCGTGATTCAACAGGATCTATATATTGCTGGCTCTTTACAGAAGAGCAGAGGGAAAAGATTTTTCTCTTGACTACAATTAGATATGGGTGACCGTGCATTTACATTTCACAAGAACTCAAAAAATTCTCAACCGGCTTTTTTGTTGTTGTTCAATCAATAGAAAAGTCTACATTTCAGAATCGAATCATCCAAAATTCATGGACCTTTCTAAAAAAATGAATCTTTATGCTAAAAGGAAAAAATCCTAATTGAGAACTTTTAGTTTTGTAATTTCAACAGAGAATTTGGTCCTACAATTTGATAAAATTAATCTTTTTTTAAATGTACTGGTTTATGATAATCACTTTTCAATGTTATTAGCAACCAGCATCTGCTCTCTGGCTTTTGAATACAGGCATTTCCTGACTTATAACCATTTGCTTTGTGACCATTCAAAGTTACAATGGCATTGAAAAAAGTGACTTACAACTGGTCCTCACACTTCTGATCATCATAACATACCCATGGTCATGCGATCAAAATTTGAATACTTAGCAACCAGCATGTATCCAAATTTATGAATACATACCCATCGCATGACCATGGGTATGTATTCATGACAGTTTCAGCATCCCAGGGTCATATGATTACCATTAGTGACCTTCCCAACTAGCTTCCAATAAGCAAAGTCAATGAGGAAAGCCAGATTCACTTAATGACTGTGTGATTCATTTACAACTGGGATGATTCATTTAACAAAAGGTTATAAAAGGTTTTAATTTGAAGCAACTCATTATACAATCACCTACTTAGCAACAGAAGCTCTGATCCCAATTGTGTTCATAAGTTGAAAACTACCTGTAATATGATGGGGTGTTAAACTCAAGGCCCAAGCACTGGATTTGGCCCACAGGGTTCTTAGATCTAGCTGCAGGGCCACCCTGGAAATAGCGAAGGACTGGCCCACGATGCCTCTGGCCACACAGAGCCCTCACGAGCTCCGTTTTCACTGGCAGAGGGTTGCAGGAGACTGTCCCATCCAAAAATGGAGCTTGTGAAGGCCGCACGTACCCCACCCCAAGATGACAGAGGGTTTCAGGAGGCGATTACAGCTGAAAACAGAGCTTGGGAGCCCATTTTCACTGATAGAACACTTGGGCCACCATAGGCACTCCCCCAACACAAATGATATGCTGGCCCCGCCCCCTGGCAACCCCACCCCAACCCCCCAAGGTCAAATACAACCCTGATGCGGCCCACAAAGAAATTGAGTTTGACACCCCTGAACTACGAGTTTCAGAAACATTTATTTCTAGAGTTATTAGAGTTTATAATATACAGTTCCTATATGGCTATCTAATAAATAATAAGTGCCCAATTAGTTAAATTAAACTTTAAGTAGTCCATGTAATGTGAGTGGGTTACAACCCAATTAATCTTTGTACTAATTGCTTGAGCTATGCTTGAGCCTGTATACCCAATAAGAACAATTTATTGTTGAAATTATTATATTTCAAAGCAGAAATTTTTATGGAGGAAAACAATAACTGAATGAATGTTGTTTTTCTGTCCAAAACTGAGGAAGGAAATATTCTCCTTTATTTAATTGTTGTGGAAAAAGAAATTTATAATACCTGGATTTAGTAGTGTGTTCTTTTATTTTCTGCTTGATTTTGCTAAGTACACTGCTCAAAAAAATAAAGGGAACACTTAAACAACACAATGTAAGTCCAAGTCAATCACACTTCTGTGAAATCAAACTGTCCACTTAGGTAGCAACATTGATTGATAATCAATTTCACATGCTGCTGTGCAAATGGAATAGACAACAGGTGGAAAGCAGAGGCAGTTAGCAAGACATCCCCAATAAAGGAGTGGTTCTGCAGGTGGTGACCACAGACCACTTCTCAGTTCCTATGCTTTCTGGCTGATGGTTTGGTCACTTTTGAATGCTGATAGTGCTTTCACTCTAGTGGTAGCCTGAGACGGAGTCTACAACCCACACAAGTGGCTCAGGTAGTGCAGCTCATCCAGGCTGGTACATCAATGTGAGCTGTGGCAAGAAGGTTTGCTATGCCTGTCAGCGTAGTGTCCAGAGCATGGAAGCGCTACCAGGAGACAGGCCAGTACATCAAGAGACATGGAGGAGGCCGTAGGAGGGTAACAACCTAGCATCATGACCACTAACTCCGCCTTTGTGCAAGGAGGGACAGGAGAAGCACTGCCAGAGCCCTGCAAAATGACCTCCAGTGGGCCACAAATGTGCATGTGGCTACTCAAACTGTCAGAAACAGACTCCATGAGGGTGGTATGAAGGCCCAACGTCCACAGGTGGGGGTTGTGCTTACAGCCCAACATCATGCAGGACATTTGGCATTTGCCAGAGAACACCAAGATTGGCAAATTCGCCACTGGTGCCCTGTGCTCTTCACAGATGAAAGCAGGTTCACACTGAGCACATGTGACAGATGTGACAGGGTCTGGAGATGTCGTGGAGAACATTCTGCTGCCTGCAACATCCTCCAACATGACTGGTTTGGCAGTGGGTCAGTAATGGTGTGGGGTGGCGTTTCTTTAGAAAGAAGAAAGAAACTTCTTTCTTTAGAAAGAAGAAAGAAACCCCTAAAGAAACTGACTGCCATTAGGTACCGAGATGAGATCCTCAGACCCCTTGTGAGACCATATGCTGGTGCGGTTGGCCCTGGGTTCCTCCTAATGCAAGACAATGCTAGACCTCATGTGGCTGGAGTGTGTCAGCAGTTCCTGCAAGACAAAGACATTGATGCTATGGACTGGTTCACCCGTTCCCCAGACCTGAATCCAATCGAGCACATCTGGGACATCATGTCTCGCTCCATCCACCAACACCACGTTGTACCACAAGCTGTCCAGGAGTTGGGGGATGCTTTAGTCCAGGTGTGGGAGGAGATCTCTAAGGAGACCATCTGCCACCTCATCAGGAGCATGCCCAGGCATTGTAGGGAGGTCATACAGGCACGTGGAGGCCATACACACTACTGAGCCTCATTTTGACTTGTTTGAAGAACATTACATCAAAGTTGGATCAGCCTGTAGTGTTTTTTTCCACTTTAATTTTGAGTGTAACTCCAAATCCAGAACTCCATGGCTTGCTAAATTTGATTTCCATTGATAATTTTTGTGTGATTTTGTTGTCAGCACATTCAACTATGTAATGAACAAAGTATTTAATAAGAATATTTCATTCATTCAGATCTAGGATGTCTTATTTTTGTGTTCCCTTTATTTTTTTGAGCAGTGTATATTACCTGACCTATATAAGTGTTTCACAAGTGCCATTTTTCATAGGTGTCAAACTTCATAATGTGATATAAAAAAAGGCAAACCCTCAGCATCTGAAAGAAAAATGAACTCACTATCACAATATTGTTATATTCTGCACATAATGAAATGTGTATAGAAACAAAGACAGAGTTAAATATGCTTTAAAATTCATATTTAAGTAAAAATAAGGAAACAAAACTCTGCCTTAATCCAGCTGTACAAAACAAATCTGGGCTATTAGGCGTTATGCATCACGTTGTCCCTTCTACCTTTGCCCTGCAAAGATCAAGGCATTGTGTTTTTATGCCTTATGATTCCAATTATTATCCTGATGACCTTGGAGAAGACTTTGATTTTGGCTTGATTTGATTTCAGTTTTTCTTCATTTAACCCCATTATATAAAGAGGAGTTGTGAGACTGCAGCAATTATAGTAGATCAAAGTGATTTGCATAAACTGGAATCTGACAGTGTATTTTAATTGGTGTGTACAGAAGGCAGCTCAGAAGTATGCATGAAGTCAGTTGAGTGTATTTGGCTTGGCTCAATACTACTGTATGGCTTTATGCCAACAAAGCTTTTGTAATGCATCCCTCTCCTCATTTTAATAACTGTCATTTTCTAAGTGCATTACCTCATTTTCTGGCTGTCAGCCAGATACATTCTGTTATAAAAGGGGGGGACAGGAGAAAGAGATGTTTTGCTTTGTATCTATCCCCTCCATATTTTTTTCATTAAAAAAGGTGACTGTTTAAGAAGCAATCAATGTTCTAAATATCCATTGGGAGTGGTTAAAACAGTTCATGACCGGAATTGCATTTTAATGAATAGCAAAGTTTAATTGCAACCAAAATGACTTGATGATTTCTTGTTTTCCTACTCAATTTTACAGCCTGGATACATGGTGACCCAAGAAAAGTAGCCTATCCAACTGATAGCTATGGGCAGTTCTGTGGTCAAAAAGATACACCGAATGAGTAAGTACCGAATTCTTTTGCATCTGTGTTCTTACCACATGCACCAGAGCTATCAGCTCATTTTCTATTTTTTTGCAGATGTCTTACTGAAAGCGTGCAGGTGGCTTCTGCCTTCATTCATTGGGTTTTTAAAATTGGGATTTCAATTAAGATTTTTAAAAACTCAGACTTCAAAGCAAGTCACTCCTCAGCCCAGACACTGTCTGTCACTTAGATATGTAACTGTTACATCATGAATCCAAGTGACTGTAAACCTAAGATGCATTGGGTCTGATTAGCCAACATAAATTGAATGCTTAAATAAGATGTCAAGTGAGAAATTGTTATGTCATTCTGAGAGAAAAGTAATTTCTAAGCACAGCTGACTGCTTCCTATTTCTGTAAGTTTGTCATGTTTTATTCAGGCAGTATCATATGCCAGCAGCTGAAACTGGCAAGAATGCTCTCTTGCTTGCTTAAATTAATACATATGGCAAACATTTAAGCTGTCAGGGGCTGCAACTCTGGCTCCCAACCTTTCCAAAGGCTTAAAGGAGGCCATGATTATGTCATTAGATAGGATAGAATTAAAGATGTCTGGTCCATTTTTTCTGGGATTTTGGTATGGAAATGGGAACTTGAGATGTGTAGAAAGCAAATTATATCCATCCCAACCCTAAAATTACCTCAGAATAATGTCATATATGTTGAAATGATGTAGTAAACAGAGCAGAGAAAGAACTTTAGAATAGCCAAACAGGAGCAGTTGATACAGTACATCAGGGTTCTTGAAAACCCTAATTTAATATAATGTGTAAAAAAAAGATACGGTACATTTATTTTATTTATTTGTAGTCCACTTTATTGTTTGACAAGTAACTCAAGATGGCAAACATCTTCAGCACACCTTCCTCCTCCTATTTTCTCCACAACAACCCTGTGAGGTGGGTTACAGAGATGGTATTCAGCAGGTTTTGACCAGTTCTGGAGAACTGGTAGTGGAAATTTTGAGTAGGTTTGGAGAATACAAATACCAAATCTGACTGGAGATTTTACAGTATCCTTCCCTTGCCATGCCCACCAAGCCATGCCCACAGAACTGGTAGTAAAAAATTTTTTGAATCCCACCACTGGTAGGTTAGGCTGAGAAAGAGTGACTGGCCCAAAGTCACCCAAATGTCCTTCATGGCTAAGTCAAGATTTGTATCTGTTTGCCTCAGGACATTTGGTTATTTGAGAATACACTTGTTCTTTGTATTTATAGGGGCTATAAACAAGTGGTATTTTAATATAATTTTTATTAAAGTATAATAAGCCTGTAGAATGATAAATTAGCCTTCCAGAATTTGGCAGTCTCCATATACATTAGTATATGTGAAGATTGTACTATAAATCCTTTGGACCCATTTTCAGCACTCATCAAGCCTTATCTGCGTATTTCATTCTTTTTTGAATTACAACTTTAGAATTCATTATGTATGAAGATATTGGTAAGCTAGTTGGGAGGCAAAAATAAAAATTTCATGTAAAAAAGCTTTTATGAAATTTGACCGGTTGCTGATATGGATTAAAGATTTATGGTTTGTAAAACCCAGAAGCTGCCTCTAATTCATATCTTGAGAGTAGTTAAATTTGAAGAGACATGCTAATCTTTATATTACTGCTGTTTGAAGTGCTTTGGCATAGAGCAATAAAATGTAAATAATAGTTCCAATGGTTCAACAAATTCTATACCAGATAAATATTTTAGAATATTTGATGTTTTGAAACAATTCCAACCTTCGAAGTTCTTCAGTAAGGGATGATATTGAACTAAAATAACATAATTAATTCCATCTTGGGTTAAGTACATTGTGAGGGGAGCTTGTTACATCAATTCATCTCCTTGTAAATCTCCATATAAACCAATATTCCTTTTACATTTAGAAGACAATAACATGATAGTCTGAAAAAGAAGCCACGGCTTTACTCTTCTATTGTGTGCTTTTTCCGTATTATCAGCATAGAAAACACTTCAATTCCAATTAGATTGCCACTCAGCTGTATGAATTTCATTGCAGTGGGCATTTGGAATCTTATCAATCTGAACTTCAATTTTAAAGAGTTCTAGTTGTATACTCATTGTGTATATCAAGAGATGATAGTCACACTTTAAAGAACACTTTAGTTCTTCTCAGCAGGCAATGGTCCTATTAGAAAGCATAATGATGCAGTGTGTCCATATAGATGAATATGGGTATGATTTTTTTTCCTTAACTTTTTCAAAAGGAGTTGGAAAATTCCCTTTTCAATGCATCAAATATTTTTGGCAAACCATGCTAAAGAGACAGCCAAAGAGGCATCCACAGCTTTCAAAAAGAAGGCAAAGCAGCCTGGATGGATAGATTTTTTTCCCTTATTTTATTTGTTGGATTCAAATCCCATCTTTTTCTGTAAGGGTTTAAATGGCTTACATTGGGATCTTCTTTATGGATCTCTGTAGCAGCAAACATGTAAATTGTGTTGGGCTGAAATAAGAAGAGGGAATAGAACAGAATAGAATAGAATAGAATAGAATAGAATAGAATAGAATAGAATAGAATAGAATAGAATAGAATAGAATAGAATAGAATTCTTTATTGGCCAAGTGTGATTGGACACACAAGGTATTTGTCTTGGTGTAAATACTCTCAGTATACATAAAGAAAATGTACATTCATTAAGAATCAAGAATTATAATGTACAACACTTAATGATAGTCATAAGGTACAATCAACAATCAAATCATACTAGGAAACAGTCAATATAAATCGTAAGGATACAAGCAACAAAATTACAGTCCTACAATCACAAGTGGGAGGGGATGGGTGATAAGGGGTGATGAGAAGATTAACAGTAATAGTAGTGTACACTTTGTAAATAGTTGAAGAGTGTTGAGGGAATTATTTGTTTAGCAGAGTGATGGCTTTCGGGAAAAAACTGTTCTTGTGTCTACTTGTTCTGGTGTGCAGTGCTCTATAGCGTCGTTTTGAGGGAAGGAGCTGAAACAGTTTATGTCCGGGATGTGAGGGGTCTGTAAATATTTTCACAGCCCTCTTTTTGACTTGTGCAGTATACAGGTCCTCAATTGAAGGCAGGTGGGTAGTCATTGTTTTTTCTGCAGTCCTAATTATCCTCTGAAGTCTATGTCTTTCCTGTTGGATTGCAAAACCAAACCAGACAGTTATAGAGGTGCAGATGACAGACTCAATAATTCATCTGTAGGACTGTATCAGCAGCTTCTTGGGCAGTTTGAGCTTTCTGAGTTGGTGCAGAAAGAACATTCTTTGTTGTGCTTTTTTGATGATGTTTTTGATTTTCCAAAGCACCAGAAGGAAGAACAAGAAATAATGGATGGATACTAATCAAAGAGAGAACCAACCTAGAACTAAGGAGAAATGACAATTGGAACAATTAATCAGCAGAACAGCTTGCCTCCAGAAATTGTTGGTTCTCCAACACTGGAGGTTTTTAAGAAGAGACTGGACAACCATTTGTCTGAAATGATACAGGGTTTCTTGCTTGAGAGGGAGGTGGTGGGATGGGGTATTGAACTAGAAGACCTCTAAGCTCCCTTCCAACTCCATTATTCTGTTATTCTGACAGAGAATGGCTGGCCCAGTTATCAAGTGAATTTCTACGACTGATGTTGCACTTAAACTTGGATATCCCCGGTCCTAGTTTTAATCTGCCTTTTTAACCATTTTTGTACACTAAAATATTATTTATAAATGTTTTAGATCATTGGAGAAGCTTGATGAAACACACAGTATTCTTTACTATTTAATTTGTTGATATTTTATATCTCCTTTTTCTGAAATTCAGGGGTACTTTTAATGGGAACTTACCTTAAAAAATAAATGGGTTAACTTTTTTGCCCTCTGCTTAACTGTTAGCGAGCTGTATGTTTTATATCTATATAATTCATTGTAGTCTTTAGTTATAAGAATGATCTATACTTATGAAATGATATTCTTTGGATTTTACATGGTCTATAGATTTCTACATACAAACACATTTTTTTATTGATTTTTAGTGCCACCTTGTGATTACTATAAAAAATACCACTTTCATGATACCATGTTGTGTGTGTTTAAACTTAGTAACTGTACAAGATAAATTTACTGCACAGTGAAAAATTGGATATGTGATAAAACATTAATGTGAAAAGTATGATTAAATTAGCATGAATTGCTGTTATCTATCCTATTGCACAAGGAAAGAACAATTTTCCCAAAATTAATCTTCATGTGTGCTATAATAGAAATCCCTACAGGCAGTAGTTTGCGAGTGAATTTTTAATATGTGTATAATATATTTATGTATTTCGTTAATTATTAATTATTGCTATACATATACATGGAGTGAAAATAATCATTTTATCTATCTTGTAGGAACAAAACAATTTTATTTTATTTTAACATTCTGAAATGTGCCAGTCCTATAGTGCTAATAAACCTACAGTGCCCTACAACACAGGTATGTAATACATAGTTAAGAATACACACGTTATATCTTGATATAGCTATTTTGAAAATAAAAAGTGTTAAGTATTGGATATACATAAAGAAATTGCTAATGTTAGATGTAAATTCTGTATTCTCAGAAGAGATATACTGATAAGATGGAAAGGAAACTCTTATTTAGAAAATATCATTTAAGAAAGAAAAACATATATTGAGTACATTGAAAGAAAAACATATATTGAGTACATTGAGTACAGTATATTGAGGGCTGAATAGTTGTGATTATTCTTTACTTCTCTCTCTCTCTCTCTCTCTCTCTCTCTCTCTCTCTCTCTCTCTCTCTCTCTCTCTCTCTCTCTCTCTTTCTCACACACACATACACACACACATCAAGTAATAGATAATCACAGCTAATCATTACTATGTATAAGCAATATCATTCATTTAAATGGCTAGAACCAAACAGCATTGTTTCCCAGATGTCATTAACTTCAGGAATTTTAACAGACAGAAATCGGATTGGGTTTCTCTAAAAATAATGTTTTGGTAATGATAATTTATGTTACTTCATATTATCACCATTTACAATTCACTCATTATATTTTCTTGATATAGACTTAAGGGGATTTAGCAAAACAATGATAGTGAAACAACCTTGCACAATCGTAGATTTTCACGGGTACAGGTATGTAGGTCTAGGTGTGTTTGGGTCTTTTCCCGTGTAAGATTAAATGTATCTTGGTGACGTTTCAGCTCCAATCACACACTGCTTGCACTGGCACAAAGCCGAAAGCACCAGCCTGAGGATGGCGAGTGGGACCTCGCCGAAACGTTGCCAAGATACACTTAATCTTACATGGGAAAAGACCCGAACACACCTAGACCTACACACACACCCACACACACACACACATACATAGATAGGTCACTGGGTTGTAGGTTTGTTTCTTTATTGTTTCTATGAAGTGGAAGTTTTGTATGTGTGAGGTGATGGATTCTGTGTAGGGCTTGGTGAGTTGTTTGGTGAGAAATTTGACAAGATTCTGTAGAGGTGAGCCTATGGAGCTGACTATGGGTCTGAGTGATATTCGTTCTTTGTGTATCTTGGGGAGGCGGTAGAGCTTAAGGCATCTGGATGATTTTTCTCTGGGGATGATTCTCTGCTGGATCTCTTCACTGATGGGAGATGCTTTTATTTTGGATTTGGTGGATTTTTTCTAGGTAAGTGGTGGGGTCAGTATTTAGAGGTTTGTAAGTGGGGTCTTGGAATAGGTTGGATATATATATATATATATATGAAATTCACTGGATCAACAGCTTTTGGGCAGCAAAGCCTTCTATTTTTTCTTATCCTATGAGTAGAGATTCTGACATTAACTTAGCTCTAGAATTTTATGTAGATAATCATTTTTTTTTTCTAAAATAAGAAATTACAAAATTTTGATTTGATTAATATTTATGTTCACAATTCTATTTGAGTAAAAAGAGAACTCATTGTATTTGTACTATGTTGGTAGAATCCTTATGTATGTAGTAAATAATCCATTCAGGATAATTTCCCATTTTAAATAAATATTTTACCAAGAAAAAAGAAATAATTATTTTTAAAAATTGATGACAAAAGCTGTTAACTATCTGAATATTATCTGAATACTTTCATTGATTAGTCAAATCACCAATATTTTGTGGCTAGATTTCAGAAGTAAGATTTCATGGAGATGTTTGTCAAGAAAATAAAGAAAGTAATTGTGTTATACCTCCAGTAGGATTACATTACAATAAGAAAAGTGATAAAATACCACTTCAATAATGACATGTTCTCTGTGACTCTTGACAATATAATAAATAATGAGGGGGAAACTAGATCCCTCGCCTGCCAAAAGGTTATATATGCCTGATTCACAGTTTCACTTTGATTAATTACTGCACAAGATACAAATATGTCTTCTTTTGGGGGAGTATCATTTAAAAGTTAATTTTAAAAATTATTTATGAGATATTTAGAACAAGAAGGACTACTAGGAGAAATTCTGTAGACATTGAAAGAAAAATATTTCTGCTTCTCATTTCCCTTGTTAGACATTACAAAACAGAGAAGAAAAAGAACAAATTGTGTATACTGTATATATATTGTGTACATATACTGTATATATACTGTATATATACATATATATATGTATGTATATATGTATGGCATTCAGCTTTGTTCGGCTATACATGTAAGTACCCGTGAAAACTTAAGAAAACATACACACACACACACACACACACACACACACACACAGTATACATACAGTATATATACAGTATATGTACACAATATATATACAGTATACAGTTTTCGCAGGTACTTATATGTATGGTATTCAGCTTTCTTTGGGTATTTTCCCACGTCATTGTAGTTGTGCTTTTAAAGTTGTAGCAACGTTTCGGCAAAATCTCATCTGCCATCATCAGGTTTCTGTATTGTGTTCGTCTGTGTGAATGAACACAATACAGAAGCCTGATGATGGCAGATGAGATTCTGCCGAAAAGTTGCTACAACTTTAAAAGCACAACTATAATGATGTGGGAAAATACCCGAACAAAGCTGAATACCATACATGTAAGTACCTGCGAAAACTTAAGAAAACACATATATATACTGTATATACTGTATATATTGTGTATAGTGCTTTGCTAAGCAAATAAACCATTAAAAAAAGAAGCACTTTAAGAAATGACCGATTTTTGAATAGGTCTTCTGGTAATAATAACTGTCTCATCCTCCAATGCTACTTTAATCAGGGTTTTGGTTTTGTCTTAAAAGCTTTGTGTTTCAAAGTGCCCAGACAGATTTGCAACCTATATAGAAATGCAGTCTTCCTACAGAAGTTATTGGGAGTACTACAAACAGTTTTGCAAGCCTGGATTTACTAAGCCACGCAAGGTGAGTTTTGATGCTTTTTAACAGTCTAGAATAAAAACATCAATGGCAAATTTATATCTTATATCTATATTACCACTGTCTCCATGATGACTTACAGCAAAGCTATGACTATGAAGTTTCTAGTTCAAAGAAGTCAACCTCCAAAATTAAAATTAGATGAATGTCTCCTCAAAGAGGCTAGAGTACAACACTGAATGCAATCATCTAACCACTTTAAAAGTAATTTATTCTATTTATATTTATTGAATATATATCCTGAATGACCTCTAGGAGTTCATGGTACCTTATGTGGGCCACTTGCTTCATAATATCCCTGTAAAAGCAACCATGTGAGATACAATGGACTGATAGATAGTGATAGTCAATCCAACGCATAGTTGAAAATGGTTTTGAACATTGATCTCCTCCATTGTACTTTAACCACTGTAAAACAACAGCTGTCTTTGAAAATATAGTAGGCCTATTGTTGGTGCAAGTACAAAAATAGGATGCTTTGATCACGTAGTCTCAACTGCTATCTTGGCTTTTTGAATCCTTTTGAATCCTCATCTGACAATTAAGTTTAGGAAGTACTTTATTTCAGTGATTTCAGTGATAGGATAAAACAAAATATATAAGCCATTGGAATTAACTACTTGATTTGCAGCCAGGTCACTGGTTTGAAGCAATTTTAGTTTTAAAAAAATTAGATTATTCTCCAATTATCTCATATTGAAAAGCTTTTACAAAGCCTGGATTTCAGTCCTAAATTCATTACACTTATTCTATTAAAAGGTAATTTAATTCTGAAATTAGGTCAAAGCTACTTGCTCAAATATTTTCTCTTCAAAGTCATGACAGGAATCTTCCTGGCCTTCCATTAATAGGATACCAGTCGGACATGAACTTCATAGTTCTCACTGAAATTCTAGCCAATAATTTGTAATAACTTTTTGATTTTTGGCATTAAAAAATAGATAACGTTTTTCAGCATTTCTGGTTATGCTTTTATTTTGACTTTCAGTCTGTAACTCAAGTTATGCGGGATGAAGATTGTCCTTCTATGATTATTCCAAGCCGGCCTTGTAAGTATCTGTGTTATATTGTGTAACAGTTAACATTGGCAGGACCAAATAGTACAATTGATTCTGTTTTGAGATTTGAGATATTCTGAGCTAAAGTTTAAGGACATAATATAAGGGATAAATTAGAAAAATACTAGATTTACACCTTAGGTAAAGCATTGTTAGTTTTAATCATGATTTGTTGATATGTATTATCCAACTATAAGCTGGAAATCATGGTTCACACATGATTCATACATCGAATCCCAATAAACCAAGTATGATTTGAAGGAAGGAAGCCTAACTAAACTCAAGTGATATGTATATTTGTAGCACTTTAAAATCTTCCCTAGTACAGTTAATGAGCCAAATTTGAAATCCCAGTGTTTCCCATTTTAAATCTTTCTTTCCTCAAGCTACGCTATAATAAGACCACTTATGTGCCCCAAATACCAGCTAATTGTATCCTTGAATAACATAGAGCCATCTGATACTGTGTGCAATTAATTTCCATATTATTTTCTCATATCTTGCTTTATCTTAGCATACAGTATAGTGTACTGTACTGTACTCTGCTATGCTATGCTATGCTATGCTATGCTATGCTATGCTATGCTATGCTATACTGTACATACCTAATATGCTAGTCTCTTTTGGGCTATAAAATGATGCTAAATTCATTTACTTTGTGAACTGTTTTTCCCCTTTTCTTTTCACTCTAATTTGGTCAGCATCTGTTTCCTTTTGCATTCACAAGACACTTTTTAGCAATGTGGATTGTTGGTTTTCTTTTAATGTGTTCATATACCATCGTTTGTATCATGATGTGCAAACCCAGCCAGGAAGCCCTATTTTAAAAACATACGTAGATATATGTGAATCCAGCCATGCTGTGGCTTGCCCATCAGTTGCAAAGAAGCCAAAACTACAATAATTGCTGTGATGGAAAAAACGTAGTTACTCCGCAAGGGATTATGGAGTCATTAAAAGAAGATGATGACTAAAAGAAACAGATATTGTTTATAAGTTACACACTATACTAAATAACATATACTGATTTAAACATACACAGTTTCTTCTAATTATATCTAGTCACATTAAATCTAATATGAAATTTAGTGCAATTTGACCTGCATTGTTTCATCTCAGTATCAAATGTGAATCATAATAAAAAGACACATGACACTACAGATAACTTTTTGTTTCCACAGTTCTTAAGAGGTGCTTTCCTGATTTCTCTACTAAAAATGGGGTTTTGACTGTGGCCAACCAAACTACTTTCAAAGATGGAAGAGGAAAATCACGGAATGTAACAGATCTCAGGGAAGCAGCAAAGTATGGATAGTGTGTGTTTTTGTGTTTACCTATACAACTTTGCTTGACTAGTTGTCATATAAATGCACTGCCTTGGATTTTTTTTAATAGTACTAATCTCACAGACAAACCTCTGTATAGGAGAGGAATTTCATGATTTTGATTTCATTTGTTCTATGAGCAACTTTATATCCAAATTATTTTGTTATCCATATCTGGAAGTTGAATCATGGCAGCTGGACTTTTTTTTTTTGTCTGAAACATTCACTCCTTATCCAAGTATGTTGGACAGATTCAGACAAATAATGACATCATAACTTGTCATTATGATTATTGTTTTATTTTTATTGTTTCTTTCTGTTCAAACAGGATATTAAAGACTGCTTAATAAAAGCAATATTTCATTCATTTGACCCAGGAGTTTTCACCTGCAGTTTTCTCCCCATCATGAGCATCATTGTAGCAGAGGTTGAACTGAGAAAAAGTGATTGGGCCAAAGACTCTACTATATATGGCTAAGACTGGTCTTGAACCTGCATTTCCTTGGTCCTTGTTGACATCTGAATCACCATAAAGACTCAAACATAAGAAAGACAACCTTAAAAATAAATTCCAAAAGCTGCAAACTTTCCCTTTTGTACAACCTTTAGAATGGTTAATTAAACAAGCATAAGCCATAGTTGATTTTCTGATGACACAGCCATCTATAGTTAACCAGTACCAAAACCCTACAGATGCTTCCCTAGAACTGTGCTTATACTATGACTAGTAATAGCAATGTTGTTTAGATATCCCACAGTGTTACTGTAGTTTTAATAATTGTTTAGAAATGTTAATAGTTTAATAGCATAATCTATACTGTAATATAGAGAAGTATGTCTATTGAATATGTATAGAATTAGAACCTAAATTCTTGCCTTTTCCATAAGATTTATATTTTCCTATAGCTTATTATTGCTTTGGGCACAAACCTCAGTGCAATATATGTTTATTACCCTGAGTATTTCATTTTGCCAATTAACCAAATACTATGAACAAAGTTGTGACTTAATTTTTGTAATGATATGGTGTACAAATTACTTACAGTAAGCTCTTTGGTTAGTTAATTTACATAAGAGGGACATAGTCTAAAACTTGTTTTTTTTCCCCCCCTCTTTTAAAGTGGCATCAATAATGTTCTTGATGCAAGATCAGTTGGGATGAAAATTTTTGAAGACTACGCAAGCTCTTGGTACTGGATTTTAATGTAAGTTCTTAGTCATCAAAAGTCATGCCTTCAGCATGTAAACAGTCATGGTGCATGCAAAGTGGGAATATAACTTCTCTTCTTTTCCCTTATTCATTCTTTTGCGCTTTCTTTATTCAGTTCTTTTATATGAATTCATTCTTTATTTCTAGTTGCTATTTGCTTCAGGTCTCAATGAAGTTAGGGAAAACAATTGAAACGCCATACTTTAAGCCAGTATACAACACTGTAGAAGACTGCTTGCTTACTTTTTAACTGTTGTATTTTTTGTTTTTGTTTTTAATTCCCAGAGGGCTGTTTATTGCGATGGTAGTCAGCTTGCTCTTTCTTGTGCTTCTGAGATTCATAGCAGGAGTTCTCTTCTGGATTTTCATCTTTGGTGTAATTGGGATTATAGGATATGGTAAGTGCCAAATGTTACATGCAGCTATCTAGCATTTTATTACTAATACTGAGATAAGCAGAACTGATAATCAGTTAATTCTGTACCGTCTCACACTTTACCCATTAAATGAATTAGTATTGGGTCATTCTATTTGTCCTCTAGATCAGGGGGTGTCAAACCCAATCACATCGCAGGCCATATCGTGACGTATCGGGATTGTGTTGCCCCTGCAGAGCTGGGGTGGGCATGGCTTGTGTTAGGAATGATAGTCACCTAACAGTTGGGTTGGAAATATATAAACCAGGATAGTAATTTAATACTGTATCTTTAAGAGAATGCTGTAAGTGTGATTGGCTGAGGTTCCTCCAATGGCCATAAAGCGGAGCCAGAAACCTAGTTTCTTTCTCCTTGCATTTCCTGTTTTGCCATTTTGCCTGATCATCATTCTGCTTGGATTGCTGTTAGTCTTGCAACTGTTAGCAAACTCCGTTTACTGAACTTTGTTTATGATACTGGACTTTGTTCTTGAATTATCCCTGGACTGATTGTATTGAATTCTAACTGCTTTAACCGTGTATGATTTGGACTGTTTATTGGACTTTGTTTACCCGTTTACTGGAAGTAAAACCTATATTTTACTATTCAGTGTATCTGTATGCTGGTCGTGTGTTATTCAACATCACTCTCACTACGTTTCCCTGAGTGCACTCATTCTCCTAATGGGGAATACCTTACCACTGGCTATAGGCCCAGACCATACCAGGCTCAGATAACTGAGAGTTAGTGTGAATACACAGTACTATATACAGACAGCTGTTTACTGTTTAATTGTGGGTTACTGTCCTGGTAAAGATGGCACAGGACCCGTCAACAAATCTATCACTGATAACCCAGTTGGATGGAGCAAACTATGAAGTGCAGTCTACTTCTGCGTAGAGAAGGGTTATGGGCTGTTCAAGATCCACCGGATGTAAATGCTTGGAATCCAAATGATGAAGACAATGCCAAAAAGTTAGCTGACTTTAAACAGAACAACGAATGAGCTCTTTCTATAATTGGACTAACACTGAGTGACCAGCAGCTAGTCCATATTCATGGAGAAGAGTCTGCTGCTAGATGTTGGGAGAATTTGAAGACGATTTATGTTTTTGACAGTGTAGGTGCACACATACATCTTACATGTAAACTGTTTAGAACATGTCTTCTGAAAGGTGGATATATTTTAGTTCACTTGAACTTTATGAAAAGAACTTTTTTTTTTAACACTGTTTTATTTGGGTTTTCACACATACAAAATACAAGTAAAACATCTTTTTTGAAAATAGCATGGTCCCGGGTTGAACTTCTTTATACAGACACAAAACTCAATTTCATGCTCCTTTTTGTATTCTATTCCGTATCTTATACTATTTTACATTTTCTATATAGTTTTTCCCCTCTTTTAATTTTCTCAATTTTATTTTGATTATCTCATCTCAATTCAAATCATTATATTTATACTTTTGTCTGTTCTGTTTCAATTTCATATTATCTTTTCTCATTAAACAAATTTTCTCCTGTAGTTACTAATTGGAGTATGACACCTATATATCTTTTAATTACATCCATTCAACTCTTATTTAAACTTCAATATATACCTTAAGGTTATGACCTTCAATATAATGCATAATACATAACTTCCAATTGAATTCTGCTTGGTACATTCTTATAATACACACTATATGCTTTTTAAAAAAAGCTTGTAAATATATGTAATTATAAACCCTCATTTCATTCCAGTTCAATTCTATCATTAATAATCATTAAAATCTTAACATCCTTAACACTTCGTTTCAATTAAATATCATACTTCCTTAAAAACACATATAATCTCCATAATTAATTTTTCCCTTATTTCTCTTCACATGTTTTGTAAATCATTAAATATACCTTTTATTACATTTATTTATTGACAAGCATTCCACTGAATTACGATAGCTATTTTATCAGACATTTTAATCATACATTGTTTCATATTTTCTAAAATTATTTCTGTTTCTAATATAACCATACTATCTTATTTACCTTTGCAGAATCCCTTTTTCCATTAAATTTTCACCCATTATCTCTAAATAGGCCCTGTTTCTCTATATTTTGTTTCTGTCCTTTATGACTTCTTTTCCTTTCTTTCTTTCCTCTCATCTTCTCCCTTCCCTTTTTACCCCCTTGTCTCTCTACTTCTAATTCTCCCTTCCGCATTTCCCTCTTCTGTTGCTTTCTGATTTTGGACTTATTTTTCACTCTATCTTTTTTTTGGAGTTGTTTTCCCCAATCTTAAACTTTCCATTTTCTTTCCCCCCTTTCCATTTTTTCCCCCATGTAAGATTACTTGTTCATTAAAGATGGCTTCTTCTTTGTCGCAATCTTCTTGTTCTGCAGGCATTTCTTGTTGTTTCTCATAATTCCAAATCTCCATTTCTAAAACTGAAATACGAAGCCAAAAGAACCTCTCCCTTCTTGTGCATCTTCTTTATACTTTTTAAGTTCCATTTTCAGTTCTTCTTAAAGTGGAACCATTTTAAACAGTTTTAAACAACCACCCAATTGATTTTAGTCATTCAAAACAATAACTAAGAATCCAGAAATCATCAAGTAATCCAGATAGTCCTGAGTTATATCTTCTTATTTCTTTTTCGACTTTCTCTTCCTGGAGTTTTTGTTGCGATATTTCAGTTAGAATGTATCTTTTGGAAGTCTTGTTGAGATTTTGCTGTAAGTTTTTTTTTTAATTCCAGGCAGTCTCTTTCCTTCCAGATCCTGCCCTTTTATTCTTTTTCTCTCCTTTCCTGTTTTCAAAAGCTTTTAATTATCCAGAAATCTTTATTATCCCTTTGACTTTTTATTTTCAGCATTAAATGCCTATTAATGTCAAAGTGGATTTTTTTCCAATTTCTTGCTGAAGTCTCTTAGCTGTCAGTATAGGAAAAGGAGAAAAAAAAACCCAAATCTTTTCCCTTTTCTCTCTCCTTCGCAGCTTAAAAATCTTCTTAGGGAACAATGTTATTGTTTTTTAATAGTTTCAATTCCAGGGTACCTTATTTGTTACTTTTGCTGTTTGACCCAGTCAACCAAAACTTTCTCCTCTTATCTTCCTCCTGCACATTCTTTTCTGGTCGAGTTCTTTGTGGTGGCCATTTCTGACCACCACTGCAACCGCCTTTGGGAAAGGGAGTAATGGCCAGCTGGGGAGGAGAGATGTGGCTCTCCTCAACCCTGCAGGCAGTCTACCCCCACTTCACCACCTCTACAAGGTGGCTTAGCCCCCAAACCAGCCAGCTCGGGGCTCTCCAGCGGCGAGCACGGATTGAAGCCTCGCAAAGACGAAGTTTCAGTTTGTCACTGAAGAAGCTCAAACCGGTTAGTCATGAAAAGAACTTTTCAAGAGCTGCATGAAGGAATTAACTAAGATAGGTTTGTAGCTGGCATGGCTGATCCATGTTTATTCAAAAAAGAAAGTGATGGTATAATTTCATTGTTGCTATTGTTTACTGATGACATAGCTAGCACTGAGCAAGAAGCTACTGAGATTATACTGTTAGAGAAGAAATTTAAAATAAAACATTTAGGAGAGATTAAACAGTATCTTGGTTCAAAAATAGATAAAACTAGGGGAGGCTACAAAATCTCACAGGCAGATAAAATTAACCAGTTACTTAAGAATTTTAAAATGGAACCTTGTAAACCGACTAAAACACCAATGAATCAGGAGTTTAGCCACAGTGATGTGCAAAGTTCTGTTTTTGATAAAGACATTTATCAATCTTTAATTGGTAGCTTATCTAATCTTAGTAACTGGTCAAGGCCAGATATAGCATATAGTGTTAACCAATTAGCCAAGTGTAATGCTGAGTCTACTGAAAGGCACTGGCAAGCTGTTAAGCGTGTGTTGAGATACCTGAAAAAAAACAATGCATTATGCATTATATTTGGAGCCTAAGGATGAACTAAGTTTAACTGCATATGCCGATGCAAGTTTCGCTACAGACATACCTACATGTAAATCAATGTCAGGTACTGTAGTGTTATTAGGAAAGGTGTTAATTGGATGGCGGTCCATTCGTCAAAAACATCTAAGCTTATCAACAATGGAAGCTGAATTCTCAGGTTTGTCTCTATTATGTATGGATTTAGTTTGTTATAAACAACTATTGATAGGTGTGGGAATTAATGTAAAGGAACCTATTGTTATGTATGAAGACAACCAATCAGCAATACAAATGGCTTCCAATCTAAGATCTAAGACATCTAAATGTGAGACAATGTGTTCAAAGTAAAATGATTACACTGGAGTACTGCATGTCAGAGAATAACATTGCTGATCATTTTACGAAAGCCCAAGGCACTGTAAACATAAGGCTTGCTGTGATGAATATGGACTTCAACTGTAAGGCTTTATATATTGTCCTACCCAAAGGGGAGAATGTTAGGAATGATAGTCACCTAACAGTTGGGTTGGAAATATATAAACCAGAATAGTAATTTAATACTGTATCTTTAAGAGAATGCTGTAAGTGTGATTGGCGGAGGTTCCTCCAACGGCATAAGATGGAGCCAGAAACCTGGTTTCTTTCTCCTTGTATTTCCTGTTTGATGTTGCTCTCTGATAGAATACTGGTTGGTACTCCACCTTCTCAAAAAGTTATTGGCAAGTTTCTTTTGGAATTTCAATTATTTGTGAAAAGACTGATGACTGGAAGCCAGGAAGCTATTTTCTTCAAATAAGAGTACCTATAGACATTATAAGGTTTGTTTTGCTTTCTTTTTACTATTTACTAGCTAGATTTATAAAGTAACATAGAGCAATTCATCTCTGTTTGCCATACAAAATGAAACATAATAAAATTTAAAAATAATTCATTTGAAATTCAGCACAGCATAAGTATGTTTGCTAGCATGGCAGGTGGGACATATCATAAAGTTAAAAAATTAAATTGAGAACAGGAACCAAACCCATATCACAGGAATTGAAACTAGTATATTCAAATTTTCTCTAAGAACAAAAGAATTCTAGTCTTTCACTACCAAAAAAGAAGTCCCGGGGGGTTTTCTTGTTCAACAAGAACATAACAAGGGTTACTTCTGTAAAAATATTTATTTTTCTCTCTTATGCCATTTATAAGTTTCTGATTGATAAGCATATAAAAGTACTTTTTCGTCATGCATATGTATTAGAAGAAGACTTCTATTACGTGTTAGGTCCCAAGTCAAGCATATAGTTTGTAGCTCTTATATTGGATCTGGCATCTTTCTACCAAAAAGTTCTCTTTGGTTTTGAAACAAACCATAGGATAGATTATCTAAAAAGGATGTAAATTGTTTTATGATTCTATTTTTTCTTTTTCAAAAGGTATCTGGCATTGCTACTGGGAATATCATCGCCTTCATGGAATACCTGGTTCTGATCTTACTATCTATGATATTGGATTTCAGACAGATTTCAGGGTCTATCTGCAACTGAGGCAAACATGGTTAGCATTTAGTAAGTGAATTTTTGAGAAACCTGTATTTTGAGATACCTGCTTAATATTAACCTGCATAAACAGCTTCTTTGATGATTTATTGACACCAAACTCAATATATTCCATGGTAAGCTATATGTTTAAACATGGGTTGACAATAAGCTAAAGTTGGATGAGTTCATTCAGCATATTGAAATAAAAAAGGGTACTTTGACTTAGTACAATATGCGAGCCTGCTCTCTGAAAAACAGGTTTCCTAAATGTCTTGTTTATCTAATTTCACTGCAGTTATATCCCACTATAATTCAATTGATTCCCAGAGGCTTACATGATATAAAAAAATATCCATAGTACAAATTGAAATTAAAAATGCTATAGAATCACACCTCCATTTCAGCTCCAATATTAGTAAGAAATAACAAAGATAAAAGATGGCTAAGTCTAATTAGGCTTTCTGGAGCAACTTTGGCTTCAGGATTTTCTTGAATGCTATCAGAGATAAAGTTGGTCTTTATCTCCAGTAGGAATTTGTTCTAGAGCAGGTGTCGCCAACCTTTTGGACCTCAGGGACCACCAATCTCATAATTTTAAATCCTGGGGACCACTAACCAGTTCTATGGGCGTAGTCTAATTTGTGGGTGTGGTTTGGTGGTCATGTGACTGACTGGGCATGGCTTGCATGTGAATATTATAAATATTTATATAAATATTGAATTTTTTATTAAAAAAGAGCAACTTTTGCCCAAAATCAGGCAAAGTAGGTAGGAAGATTGAGTTGCTCACAGAATCACAGATTCACTTAGAGATCTGTTTCTGCCATCGGCTAGCTCAGTCTGCAATGCTTCAGTCCTGAGGAAGATTCGGCTTATCTAAAGATTAGCTAGAAAGCAAGAAATCCAACTATTTCTTGCTTTCTAGCTAATCTAAATCTCCCCACACAGCAGAACTGCTGATGGTCGGAAAAAGGAAAAATAGCAACTTACCAGGCAAGTTTGCCAGGTAAGGAGTTAGGGGGTGAGGAGAGTTCCTGCGGGCCATGTGGACTGCACAGCCTTGTGTTCCTGCGCAGCCTGGATTAATTGCTCTGGGAGATTCTCTGAGGGTGACATTTCTCTGCGGACCACCAACATTTTCTCGTGGAGCACCAGTGGGCCACAGCCCACTGGTTAGCAACCACTGTTCTAGAGAACCAACACAAAAAAAGCAGTGGCTTCCATCCTTAGCTTCTTTTATTCCGCAAAGTTGAGAAAGTTGAGAAAATTTTACTCTAAATGCCCTAGTATTTCGGGTGCTTTTGTTTGGACGAAGTTGTCCTGCAATGTCTCAGGTGCTGAGATAGAAAGAACCAGCTCAGCATTACTTTAAATTACATCTAGAAGTCAACTGGAAGCTAATTCATAACCCACAGCATAGCTATAATGTGTCCACAATTCTGGACTAATAGTTACTTCTGATTTGTCTTTAAAGGTATTTCCTTTAAAGAGTGCATTGTAGCTATCTAACTTGGTGTTAGTCAGGACAAGAATTAACTATTCCCATGTTCTCTGGCACCAGGTAATATTGCAACTGATGCATCAACTGAAACTGGGTAATAACTTTTCTAGGTACAACTTTACTTGCTGTTTTAGCAGGAGTTGTGAGTTCAGAAGGGCCCTCTAGTGATAATCTTGCTCCTTTGGGAGCAGAGTTTGCTCAACAAGAGATAACATTGGGATCAACAAATAGCCTTTTTGGACAAACATGACCTCTGCTATCTTGAATTCAGCTTTAACCCATTCTGACCTCCAAACACATAGAGCATCAATGTCATCTCTGGCACAGGGCAAGGGAGTGTTATAAAGTCTGTTATTATCATTTTAATAATATTGCACCCCAAAATGTCATGTGATCTCACATAGCAGCTTCAGTTAGAGTATGTCCATGACATCTGGAAATTATGGGATGTGTGGTCTGACATAGCTACATGCCTCCAAATTGTAGACGTTTGCTCTGGAATATGCTTTCAGGCTATGCAAGATGCAGCCAAGCTTTTGACTTTATTTGTTCTTAAAGTGAATGAATTAGAGAATGCATGATGAAAGCTCATACTTTTTTGCACCTGTGCAGGTAGGAAACATGGGATAGGCTGGGAAAATCTTAGGATAAGTAGAATAAGTCACCGTGAAACACAATACAAAATATGGTATTTCAGTCCCCATATAGATAAATAAGTTTCTTAAAAACACATTACATGTATTATACTTCATTTAGCCTGCAGGCAAAATCAAATTGTAAAGTCTCCCTGGTTTTCTTCCTGCTCTGGGGACAATGGTATTGTATTCCAAAATGTCTGATGGATCAAGACTTAAAATGAATGGAACTTATAAATAATCCCTGCTATGTCAATACAACTCAATGTGTGTTTTCTTGCTTGTGATGAAGTGGGTTGTTCCTTTGTTATTTTGACCCTGTTGCTTTCTGAAAAAGAAAGGACATAAGACTTCAGTGTTACTTCTCATTTGGAGAATTTCTGAATCTTGACAAAAGTCATACTGGAATTCTAGATGGCTAACTTCAAGTAAATATCAGTACATAAAGTACAGAAGTAAATAGCAGTACATAAAGAATAACAAATTCAGGCTGCTATTAGTCATGAAAAAGCTATTATCCAGGAATAATAATGATAAGCCCTGAGTTACAATAAATAAAAGAACAAAATCAGTCACATATAAGCATTGATTATATCTAATATCTTCAGATACAATGAATGAAAATAGCAAAAGGGAGTCAGTGAATAGGACTGTCTAATTGCAAACAGATATTTCTTTATGCTAATCATGTTGAATCTGCATTATATTTAAAGCTATGCATTGAAATGAATTGTTTTCTTCATCAACTTCATTGTACAGTATGCCCTAATATTCATTGAGGAGAAGCCGTATATATACAAAATGAATCACATAAATACAATTGTGATGAGAGAGTACAATCTTGATGACATACTTGCTTTAATGCATATAAAATAGCCTAGACTAGATCTATGTATGTTGAGATTTAATTTCACTGGAAACGTAGATAAAACGCAGTTGTGAAAGGGACTACTGAAACTAACCCTTCTAACTGGTAATGTGCTGTTGTGAGATTAAGTCGGCCTTATTTTTTGACAAACTCATTTATTGTTATTTTCAGTGATCCTACTTTGTATAGTGGAAGTTGTCATTATACTGATGTTAATATTTCTGAGAAATCGAATCCGGATTGCAATTGCCCTTTTGAAAGAAGGTAGCCGGTGAGTATTATTAGCATCCTCATTTTTGTAGTATTCTGAACAAAGCCTTCCCCATCCATTAGTTGAGAGATTGTGATTTTTAGGTTTTGCTAGAAATTCAGGGCAATATACCACTTGATTTTTTTTAAAAAAAGAAGCATGTTAAAATGAGAATTGTGAGCAATTCGTTGCAAATTTCTTTCCTTTCCCAAGCCTCAGCTGATTAAGCAGCTTCAGTTGTGAGGCATGAACATTTTTCCCCCTCAGCCTAAAGCAACTTTAAGCATCCAATTTTTGTAGATTACAATGTGAGCTAAAAATATAATGGAATGCTCTATTCTTTACCCTGTTTACTTCTTAATTTTAGAGTTAAAGAATGGCTTACAGAGATTGGTGGCATTTTTTTTCTATCTGCCCAGCTGACAGCTGGTTTTTCTCATTCAGGCTAGTAAAATCACATTCAGATGCATTGAGAGCTGTTTTCTGTTTTCATACCTTCCTATGGTGCTTTCCTTCTGCTTCTCAGCATATCTGTCTGAATCATGCCCTGTTCTCCATATGACTCCCCTTAAGTAGCAATAATTTTCAGCAATTAACATTGTTCTGTCCATTTCAGTTCAACAGAAAGCCATCTAAACATTAAGTTTTGAATTGGCCAGTACTTTCTTTATCCATTTTAATTGCCAGCCTCAAGGGCCATTCTACTTCCCTTCATTCCTTCTTCCTAGAGTGCTCTCTGATAATTTTTTGAGACTATGTCCAAAGTCAGACCATCTATAGCCCTTTCCCTTTCTCTCCTATGAGAAACATTTCTCAGAGAACTGAATGATCCCTACTCTTCCCATCAACAAAGCTGAAATGAACTAGCACAGAATTGTTTGAGTACCTGCATAAAAATATGACTATATATAGAGTTGGCAAAAAGCCATGATAACTAGAAGCCTTCCAGAAAGATATCAGGCTGTTTGGTCTAGTTCATAGATTCAGTCAAATTGTACAGTGAAGGATGGAGACCAGACATTCTCTTTCAAAGGAGGTTATCTTAATTGTGAAGAGAAGTACTCTGCAAGAATGCCAAGTCTTCAATTCATTAATATGATCCTGCTAGCAAAAAACCATGGATTATATTACCCACTTTATATAATATTTATATTTTTTTATTAAAAATGTACATGGAAGGAATGGTCAACATCATTTGTTCGGTTATTTTGTCTGAAATGGTATTGAAAATAAATGTAAGGGAAAGAGTATTTCAGTTTGCAATTCTCTCCGTTTTTTCCTCTATAAAGAGCAGTCTTATCTCTGTCCTTGTATAAACTGAGTTTCAGACTGTTTTTCCTCCCTGAGCCAAGAATCAGAATTGCTGTTTTGGGGAAGTTGAAAGTAAAATATGTACTGGGGTATCAACTCTGTAGTCTTTCATCAAATTCAACTATTTTTCTGGGCTCACCTGGAAACATCATAGCAAATTAAACAATACAATTAAAAGAATGTGTGCAGAGATTTTCATAAACTTCTAATGAAAAAATAATATTTCATTATAATGTTGGGTATATTCCAATAAAGATAACTAAAGATCACAGAAGTACTGTCCAATATTTCTGCATTGGAAAGTGCATAAATATGATACATTTTGATGCATTCATCAAAAGAAATGTTGCACTCCGTTGTGAACACAGCAGAATGCAACCCTTAATCAAGATCTTGAAAAATATGTGATTAATGACTAAAAGCTAAGTATTTTTTTCAAGTTTAGTTTAATCATCTCTTCAGTGAAATGGCAGTTTATATTAGCAATAAATCAGTTATGATCTATTCCTAGAATTTAACAAGCAGTTTATTATTGTAAACAGTTTATGATTTCAATAAGGCCTACCTATTATTAAATTCTGAAATGCACTGATTTGTAGTAATTATTTCTTGACTAGCATAAGCTTCCACAGTTCTGCAGTGATTGAAAAAAAACAGTCAAGATGTTTCTAGCACAATACATTAATTGTCCACGTAGAACTAACATTTAATGCAAGGTTTAATTTAAGTTTTAGCTCTTCTTTAAATTATGTGAAATAATTATAAACATACGCAGAGTACATTGTTCACATTAGGGAAAGCTTATGAAAATTGAAATAGTAATTACCGGTATACAAACAGTATTCTCATGTAGAGAAAGTCAGGTTTCATAACATTACCAAGTAATTACCAAGCTGACATAGGGTGAAAAGGACACCAGAGTTTAATGATAGACTGCATGTGGAAGCTTACCTTTAGTACCAGGTTTAATATTTGAGGTTTTATGGAACTATGTGTATGTCTTTTTATTGATATTGGTTTTTTTTATAAATAAATTTTATTAATTTTACAATTAAAACAAACCAACAACACATACACAAATGAAAGAAAAGAAAAAAAAGGAGAAGAAAATAGAAAGAAAAAATAGAAAACAATTGTTTTAATAGTTAGTTGGAAACCATCCAGAGTTTGATGGGTGGCTATATAAATGTTTTAAATACATAAATATGGGTGGCTATATAAATGTTTTAAATACATAAATAAATGCACCCACCATTCCTGGACCAAGATGCTCTGTTCACATACACTGATGCCTTGGTCCATTCTGAATGGACTATTTCAATGTTCCTTACATTCCTTGAAGAATATCCAAAAGTTACAGCTGGTACAGAATGCAGGGGCACATGCAATATGTGTGCTGCTTGATCCGCACGGCATTATACTTCTGCTCTGCAAGCTGCATTGGTTGCCGCTATGTTTCTAGGTCAGAGCTGGCTGGAGAATTCTGGGAGTTGACATCCATAAGTCTTAAAAGTTGCCAAGTTTGGGGACCGCTGTTCTAGGTTCAATTCAAGGTGCTGGTAATGACCTATAAATTGCTCCAGCTTACCTGAGGGACTAGATCAGGGCTGTCAAACTCTCGGCCTGTGGGCCAGAAGTGTCATTTGCTGGCTATACCCACACCCAGTTTAGGGGGGGGGGTCACAATATGTCACATGATGATGCTGTGACAACATGAGTTTGACACCCCTGAACTAGATCAACTCTCCCTGATTATACTGTATCTACCTGATCCATTATTCTCTTCTGCCTATTTGGAAAGGTTATCAGCCAAAGAACCTTTTCTGACATGGGAAACAGAAACATCCTACCTCCAGAGATTATATTAGCCTTGAGCTTGCTGACTGTTCATGAGAACTTAAAAGTATGGTTTTGTTACCAGGCTTAGGGACCCTAATGGCTATATTAATTTATTGGTTCTGGTTCTACATTTTTACCAGCTACTGATTGTGTATGTTTTTAATGGTTGTTATCTGCCTTGAGTCATGCATTTGAGATGGGTAGCCATATAAATTGAAATAATAAGCAAACATTAACAGAGAATAGAGAGAACAATAAAACGTTCCATAGAAGAGATTTGCTAGAAAGGAGAAAAGAAACATTAGACTTTTATTTAATTTTTTTACTCCATGCCTGGACCAAAAAAAGTCTCCATTCTTGTTGACCCTTTTCCTACTTAGGAGCAAACAGTTTATGATAACCATACCACTTCTGACTGGCTTCTGAATTTTCTTCCAGGTCACTCATAGGTGGTGCTGAGTGATTCACTGAGCTTCATTTCCCCCTAAATATGTTGCCCTTGTGTTTGAATATTTCCTTCCCTTGGCAGAGGTCCCCTTCATTGGCAACAAAAAGTGAATATGTCTTGTGTGTATTTATAAACCCAAGAAAGAAAAGTCTGAATTTTATTATTCTGTGGGATACAGCAGGGATGAAAGAGCTATCCAGTTTCCAATTGTTCTTCGTGTACAATTCCAGTATTCAAAATTGATTAGAGTGATTGTGTCTCCTAGGAATTATAACTCAACCTCATCTGAAGAGCCACAGTTTATTTCTGCGGTCCCATTGTATAAAGAAGCTAAGGGAAATAAGATTGATTATATCTGCTAAGATATAATCTGATATATTTGCTAAGAACTAGGATTGGATGAACTTTTATGTAGAACAAAAGACCTGGGACACTGGACAGAAGTTACAATTAAATTAAAAAAAAGAATTTTGAAGCTGATACCAAAAATTACAGTATGGGGGAGGGGGAAGCATGCCTTGTTGTAAAAGACATTGAATAAAACATTGATAAAACAAATATTAAAGGATAATACAAAATGCAAATGAAAGAGTTGAGGAACCCAGGACAAAATGAAATATGAAATTTTATAGGGCAATGATTAGCAACCCAATTTTATACAGCTTGTATAATAAAGAGCTAAAGGTCATCAGAAATAAAAACATAGGCATTGGCTGTCACACAAACTTTTCTCATACTTAGGCAATTTTTAAAGAAATTAAAGAAATATTGTTTGCATGAACTTCCTGTTGATGGACAAATGGGTCGGAAGGGGTCTGATACTTAGTCATGGCCACTGAATATGGGATTGTGGGAATTTACATTATTTTTATGATGATATATACTATACTTATTTGCATATTGAAAACTTAAACAATAAAAATCACAGTGGAAATTTGATATGCTGTATACAAAGTTGATTGTTTTGCAGCCCGGCATCTGATAAATTGAATAACTTTATTTGTTTATTTATTTAGGGCAATTGGCTACATCATGTCTACATTATTCTATCCAATTATAACCTTTATTCTTATCACCATCTGCATTTCATACTGGGCAGTGACAGCTGTGTATCCTTTTTAATCAAAGAGTAAGTGGTTACAGGTTATTTCACATCTCCGGGTGAGCACTTTATTGGTACATATATGCATACAAGTATTCATCACACCATTCCCATTTAGGAATACTATATGGAATTAAAAAAAGAGTAATAAATAGTAAATTCTTAAAAAAGGAATGGAAGTAAGAAAAAGGAAACATTGCTAAATGTTATACAACACCATGCACTACAGTAATGCTCAACATACAATCATAATTACGACCAGAATTTGCATTGCTAAGCAAGTCAGTTATTATGTGAGCCAATTTCCTTTAGATATTGGTAATTCAGTTGTCAGGTGCAATATACCAGATCAACTACATGAATAGGCCACAGCAGTTTTATTATTGTTGATCACTTGTATTACAAGAATCTCATCCCATTTGCTGCATTTCTTTGGGACCCAGTAAATAATAAGGCTTTACTAGTCTAATCTGTGATGCTTCCTCCTAAACTTCCTCTTTTCCTTTAGTCGATGATTCTGCCACATCAATCCTAATTTATTCTTCTCTGACCACACCGAAATTCCTCTTCTGTGCTTCTTTTCATAGTTTCATTCTTGTATTCAATCCATGTTTGTATTCTTCGCTCATTTATTTTTTTTCTTTTGCTACTACACACATTTCTCAAGTAAGCCATTCCCACTGCATTCAACTTAATCTAACATAGTCTCAGTGGCATAGCGGGTAGAAGCATGTTATTATACACTTCTTTCAATAATCTTTCTTTGCAGTGAATTACATAACACCATTACTTTTCACCCTCATTTGCACAGGTTAAAATGTCTCCATTTCCCATTGTAGGAAGCATTTGTTATAGTACACAAATTCATTTACGCTGTTTTTTTTGCAGTTTATAACTTGCAATCAATCATTCATCACAATCTCCTTGTCAGAATTAAGTGCTTTGGTGGTTAGTTCAATATTATTCACAACCATATGATTTGTTGCATTTGCTGGAAATCATTTGCATGCTCCTTCAAGAATATGCATACAAATTATAGAAGTATTCACCTTCCTAACCAACACACTTCTAACAAGCTTTGCTTATACACTGATCCCTAAATGCATTAAACAATCAGAAACATAGAAGAAATAGAAAACACACAAGCTTGTTATTCCCTGCTCAATATTAATAATTTGTTAAACACTCCATTTATTCTATGGCAACCTTTAGAGTATGCTCTTAATGCATTCAATAATCAATCTTAAACTCCATGCTTAAGAAAAAAAATATAATTCAGACATATTCCTTTGCTAAAGCATGAAAGAAGCAAGCATCTCAACTTCCTTCAGAAGAAGCTACATTTTGCATAGGAAGAAATCTCTATTTTGATCTCTTACCTTTTAATTGATTCATGTATCATGTGATTTTTTTGCCATCAAAAGTGCAGAAAGTTTGAGAGTACTTGATTTGTTCAAGTAAATAAATGAAGAGAACTTGCAAAATTCACTGTGCATCTGACTATCTCGTGTTCTTCAGTGGTTTCTTAATTACTTATTTACATGCTCACATTCCTTCCCAGAACTTCTCTTCTCACTGATTAATTGTGAGTGAAATCCTTATATAAAATGCAAGTTTTGCAGTATTGTGACTTTTTTTTAACATTTGGGTAGAAGTGTCTTGGATGGCTTATTATTTCAACTTTTTGAAATATATTTTTATTTTATTTTTCTGAACCTTCTCAATATTTTTCACAGTATCTCTACTGTGTATGTGATCTTTGAGCTATCCTTTTTCACTTGGTCCCCAATATTACCAGCAAAGACGCCCTTGTTATTAAGTAAAAAAGTAACATATTTTACACCTCTCATTAATTACCTGCAGACCAGGCAGGTAGGTTTTTAGAAAATGCATGCGTGTTATGGTTATCTTATCTTGTGCTAGTCATTAAAAAGCAAAGGAAATTAATTATATTCTTTGTGATATTTCCACTTGGTAGAATGTTACATACTGTGACTATCTGATTCTGTTTGTTACTTAACCCAATTAAATAAAGTTTCCTGGCTACCTCAGGAGAACCTGTGTACAAAGTTATGGCTAATCAAAGCTTATGCAAATATGCAAATTTGACCTGTTATCCAGAGGTAAGCAAATGTGTAAAAAAAACAACCATGTACCTTCTAATTCTTCATTAGTTAATACCCTATGCTTTCATAATCCCCTAAGCTTTAATTTCCCCACATTGCTTCTGACAAATTTGTATAAATGAATCTTTTCAATCTACTATAATCGTAAGTGACTATAGCACTTAATGCAGAGACGCTTCCATTGACCAGACACATATAGAAGGTTGAATTATTAGTTGTTTGGTTAACTTCGTTAACAGTTTTCTGAAACTGCTAGAAACATTGGAAAGCCCATGAAACATTTAAAACCACAAGCACAGTTCAAAATGTATCAATTCATGTAGGCATTTAGGATGATTTGTAAGAATTATTTGCCATATGAATTAATTACCAGTTAAGAATGAGTTTTAAATTATAACAGCTTGAATTCTCCTAAAGCAAAATTCCCATCACTTGCAGAAGTACTGCAAATATCAGATCTAGTATTTTGATTGTACTTATGTAGTCTATCTCAAGCTGTTTTTATAATGTTACACAATACATTGTTATCTCATTATCCCAAATGTTATACGTATATACTGTACATGAGTATCACTAATACTTTTGCAATTGTTAGCTGAACACTGCCCTCTGTTGTTCTGTGTCCTGTGTTCTGTCTTGTTCTTGCCTAACAATGGAAAGATTCACAGTTTGAGACGGTATTGAAATCATTTCATATCTCCAATTATTTTTCTTTTGTCCCTGAACAGACTTTCAACGCTACTAATGTGACCAAATTATGTCCAGGGGCACAGTGTACATTTGCTTTCTATGGGGGAGAAAGTCTATACCACCGCTACATCTTAGTCTTTCAAATTATCAATGTGTTTGTCTTTCTCTGGCTGGTCAATTTTTCAATTGCATTGGGTCAATGTACCCTTGCTGGTGCCTTTGCTTCTTATTATTGGGCCTTCCGAAAACCTGCTGACATCCCACCCTGCCCTCTGTTTTCTTCATTTGGACGAGCAATACGGTGAGTAAGAAGTTACATCAGGGTTTGAATTCACTTCTCTCTATATTTTCCCTGTGATGTTTTCACACACCTAGATTTTAAATGTGTCTGTAACTTCCCTTTGGCCCGAGCAACAGCAGTAAATTAGAACTACACATTATATATATATACCTTTTATATATATACCTGATGAATACTTAATATTGCAAGATATGTAAACCATATCAGCCCTATTAACTGATTTCGTAGCAGTTTAATGTTTACTAACATGTTACTTCCTGAAGAGTAACATTTGATTTTCCCCCCCGTTTAGGTATCATACAGGTTCTTTAGCATTTGGCTCCTTAATTCTTGCAGTGGTTCAACTCATTAGAGTAATCCTGGAATATCTTGATCACAAACTTAAGGGTGAGTTTTATGGAATAAGACTTTTTCAGGTTGTGAACACTTGTATGCCTTTTCATTCATATGAAACACAAATTTGGCAGAAGCATTTATATTCGTAAAGGGCTTAACCACAACTGGTTTACAGATCTTGCTCCAGTGTTTCCATGTAATGGAGTTTGGGAAAATGTACCTTACAGCAAGCCATGAACAGGAAAGTTTCTGATGATTGGTAGAGTAAACACTCCCAGTTTGTTTAAGCGATGGAACAAAATATTTAAAGCTTTATTCAACTCCTGATATACTTCATCTCTAATTCTCATGCACAGTATAAAATCTTCTATGTGGCATCATCTTGGCATTTTATAATTGTTAAGAAATGTTTTCTCTCTTTCATGCAGGCTCACAAAATGCATTTGCTAAGTTCTTGCTTTGCTGCCTCAAATGCTGTTTTTGGTGCTTGGAAAAATTCCTTAAATTTATAAACAGGAATGCTTACATCATGGTATGTTTTCTTTTTCACTCTCTCCTTTTCCAGTACACTTCTATACAATGTCTAGCAAACTGTAATTGGTGTGGCAAATTCAGTTTTCCAATTTTTTAATATAATGGTTTAAACCATAGTATTCAAACTATTTCTGGATTGAAATGTTTATATCTTTTTTCATAGTATTAAAAGATACTTTAATATATAGTCCATAGTACATCTCAGACAACTTTAATATATGTTAACAGTTTTTACTATTCTGCAGATTGCAATCTATGGTAAAAACTTCTGCACCTCAGCAAAAGATGCCTTTTTTCTTCTCATGAGAAATGTGGTGAGGTAAGGAGGTATAATTCTGTAATGCTCCATATATTTGCCCTCACTTAGAATGTGCTTGGTCAATGTTTTAAATATTCATGTTATTCTCATTTATCTAAGACTGATGCCCTCTAGATATTTTGAGCCATTAATTGTCCTGTCCTGTCCTGTCCAGAAATTCTTGGAGTTACAAATGCAACTCTTTTTTTTTTCAATCAAGTTTAGGAACAGATCACATTTAAAGGCTAGATCACATGTTTAATTGTTTCACCCAGTTGCAGAGATAGAAAACATGGACTAATGCTACAAACAAGTTTGTTATAGATTCCCAAAGAATATAGTTAATACCCCCTAACATAGATTTATTTGAGTTAATTTGAAAAATGTTATATTATTTTATTTAAGTTCACATGCTGTCCATCTCACATCAAGTGAATATTAATAAAATTATTAAACCCAAATATTTTCAGTTTTTACCTTCTTGGGCAGTTTTGTTATTTACCTTCTTGGGCGGTTTTGTTATATAGTATTTTCAGGTCAGGAGTTTTATTTTAAGAATTTCCAACAGGATAATGAATGCAAACATAAAACAGTTCTCACCAGTATTGCTTCCTATTCGATCTGGGACATGGTTTAACAGTATAGAGTGCTGTATTCAACTTGTAGCAGTCCTAAATACAGGTAATCCTCGACTTACAACAGTTCATTTAATGACCATTTAAAGTTACAAAGGCACTGAAAAAAGTGACTTTTTTTCACATTTTTCACATTTACGACTGTTGCAACATTCAGATCCTTGGCAACTGGTTCATATTTATGTCAGCTGCTGTGTCCTAGGATCAGGGGATCAGCTTTTGCGACCTTCTGACAAGCAAAATCAATGGGAAATCCAGATTCACTTAATGTTCTGACCCAGGCTTCGTCAAACTTAATAAAACACAAACTGAATTTAAAAATAAAACCTTTTTTAATGCGACGCTGGGAATTACTTGCATTCCCAGCCAAATCTGATTAGACACAGTTCCTCCAGATAAGAGCATGCTTTTCAGTGCTGTAGAATGCTTGCCAAGAAACGGAAGTCCAATTAAGGCTTAACATAAACCAAACCAAAAAACCTAGAAAAACCCGACCAGAGTGCAGAGATTCACAAAGGACTCAGAGCTTACTGAACTGCTTTGCTTCCTGCAAAGCTCTTCGTCATTGAGGTCTGACTTTTATCCCTTATGGGAGGGGCAATCGCCCCTTCTGCTTTCACTGCTCTCACCTTCTAACAGCTCTGTGCACAGGCGCACTGGGAACAGGATCTCTGGGGTCCTCTGCTTCGTTGCTGCCAGACTCCTAAAGCTCCGAAGGCAGCACCCCATTCTCAGATGATCCTGGCTCCATCCCTACACTGGATGCAGGACCCTCATCCAAGTCCTCTCCAGACTCCCTGACTGGTTCCCTTTCGTCCTCACTGTACGATACCTCTGCCGTCCACACCGGCTGCCGGCAAACCACAACACTTAACAACCATGTTACTAACTTAACAAATGCAATAATTCACTTAACAACTGTGGCGAGAAAAGTGGCAAAATGGGGGAAACTCACTTAACAAATGTTTCACTTAGCCACAGAAATGTTGGGCTCAATGGTGGTCCTAACTTGAGGGTCACCTGAACAGTTCCTCTCTACATCTAGCTTTATTCATGGAAGTCTAAGAGAGTATAGAGCAAAGCTATGTGCTTAGTCTTGTCTTCTGCCTGGTGCAGGCATATCCAACTCACATCCTGTGGGCATGTTAGCTAGTAATGCGATCTCCATAAAATCGTAAACTTTAGTATTATTGATACACACACACAGTACTGTATATTATATATCTCGTATGTGGCCCAAAACAATTCCTCTTCTCTCAGTGTGGCCCAGGCAAACCAAAAGGTTGGACATACCTGACCTGGTATACAGGAAGTCCTCAAATTATGACCACGATCCAGCCCAACATTTCTGTTGCTAAGTGAAACATTTGTTAAATGAGTTTCCTCCATTTTACCACTTTTCTTGCCACAGTTGTAAAGTGAATCATTGCATTTGTAAAGTTGGTAACATGGCTTTTAAGTGAATCTGGATTTCCCATTGATTTTGCTTGTCAGAAGGTCCCAGAAGCTGATCCCCTGAGCCTAGGACACATAAATATGAATCAGTTGCCGAGGATCTGAACTTTGATTGTGCAACCATGGGGATGTTGCAACAGTCGTAAGTGCGAAAAACTGTCATGTCACCTTTTTCAGTGCCTTTGTAACTTTGAATGGTCACTAAATGAACTGTTGTAAGTCAAGGACTACCTGTAATCCCATCACATGTTCATTTGAAGAGACATTTATGATAGTTAAGTTCTACCCTGGCCTCATGGAAAATTGTTGCTGGCCAAGATGGTACTAGGAAGAAAGTTGGATCCAAGCAAAGTGGTTATTATCTGGACTCTTCATCAGATGCAGCCTGGTGAATCCCTTCTTCCATGGATTTCCCAGAATTTGGGGAGATTGAGCTCTCTCCTATTCCTTTCCCTAAGCGTTAATGGTGGGCATATATTTTAACCTGGATGTTTCACATCAAAGCCAACTTACTCTTCAGCTACTGCTACCAGTCACAGTTAATTTTCTGTATTTCCATGACAATGAATTTGCTCCTTTATCATGTTACAAAATATAATGCTAGAGCTTACTTTAAATCCCTAAACATCAAAAACATGCTTTCTCAGTCTGCAATACAAACTGTTTTTCAATAAAATTATTAATACTTTCATTAGAATGCTTATATTAGTATGTTAATTTTAACATTAATTTTGATGTACATGTTTTTAGATAGCCTGCAGTCGGCAAATAAAGGGATATCTTTTCCCCACCTCCAATAATTTAAAATACTAATCTGTGCTTCCATGAGGAAATTAATCATCAGTTTTAAATCTTTCTCTAAAATGAGATCCTTTAGCTACATAGAAATAGTATGTCATGTAGTTATTAAAGTAACTTTAGTATAATAGCTAGAAACAAACTCCTACTGCCTTTGGGACGAAAAACAACATGATATCAGCTTTCTTCTCTGTTGCACAGGGTTGCAGTCCTGGATAAAGTAACAGACTTCTTATTATTCCTGGGTAAACTCCTAGTTGCTGGAGCTGTGGGTTAGTCAATCAATTAATTCATATGTGTGTGTGTGTGTGTGTGTATGTATTTTATTTTTTTCAGAACAAAGTTAAAGTACAAAATACAGATCTAAAAAAAATTCCAAAAGGACAAAAAGACAAAACAATTACAAAACAATCAAAGCATTAAAAAGATGCATTAAAAAGACATTATACACCTATTATCCCCTCTAGTTGAACACTGTTTAATATATTAGTACAATGTTAGGTCTAATCAATTGAGTCTCATTCATTGTTTTCAGTTTTGTTAAGGCATTGGATCATGCTTAGCTGATTGTTGATACAAAGCTCCTGTATGGGTAGTTTTTGACTTATGACCACAATTTATAGCAATTGTGCACTTGTTGACCATCTTGTGCAGAGGTTATCGCAGGGAATGATGCTGCTATTAGCTAGGAAATGATCTAATCATGGCAAAGGACTAATACAGGTAGCTCTTATAACACTTTGTTTAGTGACCATTCAAGATTACAATGGCACTGAAAAAAGTGACTTACGACCATTTTTCATATGACCATTTTAGCATGTTCATGGTCATGTGATCAAAATTAAGCCACTTGGCAACTGACTCGTATTTATGAAGGTTCCAATGTCCTGGGATCATGTGATCACCTTTTGTGACCTTTTAACAAGCAAAGTCAACAGGAAAGCCTTACTGTTACTAACTTAACAATTGCAGTGATTCACTTATCAAATGTAGCACAAAAGGTTGCAAAATGAGGCAGAATTCACATAACAACTGTCTCTTATGTTGCTCTCTTAAGATGTTGCTCTCTCTTTAGGCTCAATTGTCATAACTTAAGGACTACCTGTAATAATATTCCCTAACAGAAGATCAAAAGATAAGGGCTTTGAATTAAAATAATTTGTATATTATGTATGTATATATGTATATTATGCACATTATTTTATAACTAGAAAATGAATGAGAGTTGTCTGAAATGAAACCATTTAACAGTGAAATTGCTTCATGCTTTCCTTGTGCCTAAGAATAAATTTCTGAGATTAATTAATTTACATTCTTTATCCTTCCTGCTTAGCATAGCTGTTACTCTAAATTAGTATCTCAATTTATCACTAAACATACTGAATAAGATTAATGGAAAGTAGTTAAATGGTTCTCCAAGAAATAAACTAGATAAACTTTTTAAAAATCAAGTTTGGGTTCCTTTTCAGTTTGCTAACTACACATGTTATTAAAAAGAGACTGAAGGAATGATAAAATAGATTAAAATCTTCTGGTTGCATGAATTATTCACAGATAATTAATTGGAATGTGAATTTTAGACACTACAGATACCAAGGATAATTAATGTAAGGATTTATTATTTGAAAAATCCTGTTATAAAAACAAGGGTCCTGATTCTGAAAATGTATGCATATTTAAATGGAGATACCTAAATGGCTTGGAAGTAAATAGTTGAATAGCAATAGCACTTAGACTTACATACTGCTTCACAGTGCTTTATAGCCCTCTCTAAGCAGTTTACAAAGTCAACATATTGCCCCTAACAGTCTGGCTCCTCCTTTTACCAACCTTAGAAGGATGGAAGGTTGAGTCAACCTTGAACCTCTCAGGATTGAACTCCTGGCAGTTGGCAGAATTACCCTGCAATACTGCATTCTAACCACTGTGCCACTATGGCACAGTAATTTGTGTATATTCCCAGACATTATCTATTGCAAACTATATTGTTTGTTTCAAAACATGAGAGATAAAAGAGCTTTGAAATGCAGCTAGATTGTAACTAATTCTTTCTCTCTGTGTTTTTTTTTCCCTCCTGCAGGTGTCCTAGCCTTCTTTTTCTTCACACACAGGATACCAGCATTTGCACAAGAAGCACCTTCACTGAATTATTATTGGGTCCCCCTCTTGGTAAATTCAAATGAAGAATTAAAGGTCCAAGCGTGAGGTTGGCTTTTGCATGGTGATACGACCAGGATCATGACTCTCCAGCCCCCAACAAAACAAGCAATCCCATACTTTGATTTCTTTTGATTCTGGTTTATTTAAAATATCTTTGCTTATTGCTGCACAGATACACTCTGGGGAAAGTGTCTGCAGTTACAGTACTATCTCAGTCTCCACAGATTAGGTCTGATTCACATTCTGGCCATACGAATTGCAGGCACAGGAGATCAAATTTGATTTGAGTTTGATATTTGGATCCCAATTCATATTTGAGGCAGGTAGCATGGTCTTCTCCAGACAGTTTGGATTACATCTTTAGAGATTAACTTGCTGAATTCATATTGGATAGGGCTGATGTAACCCAAAACAAAGGGAGGTCCTAATTTGTTTGCTTTCCTCTGTCGGCCTTGCTCTTCTGCATTTCTGTTTGGGATTTTTTTTAAATGAAAGGAAGTTCCTGGCTATGTACTGTGTGCCTTTATAGAAAGTTGGGCAAAAGAGAAGAAGCAATGGATTACCAGGATAGTTCACAGTGGATTATTTAACACTAAAGAAAGGTGTAATTGGAAACTACGGTATCTCATATTAATAACATTGTACTTTGCTATTAACAGCCTTGTCTGCTGCACCAGTTCTAGTAAATCTGTGGGGAGGGGAGGAGAACTGGGGAATCACTATTACTTTCTAAATTTAGAGTCCTGGAATATCTTCAGAAAAACTATCACAATAATGTAAATTTGATTTTCTTCTTTTCCAGACTGTCATTATAGGGTCGTATCTGGTTGCACACGGATTCTTCAGTGTCTATGCAATGTGTGTTGACACACTTTTCCTCTGTTTTTGTAAGTCATCAGCCTTTTATGATTTATTTCCTCTTTCAGTGATGCTCAGATAAAGGACTTGGTAATTTAACTTCCTAACAGAATTCATGAATATGTTGGAGGGATCTGGGTTGGGTTTTTTTTTTGCTTCTCTTGTTACAGTTTACTCAGTTGAAATTTTTATTGCATGGGCAATCACATGTCAGATGTGATTTCATTAGTGGGCTAGTGAACTATTACTAAAAGCTAATTACCATTATGGCTTTTTTGAGAAACTGCTCCATAATAATTACTAACAACTAAGTATTTTATAGCTGCATTTTGTCCAGCAGCATTTCAGTAATGAGTGTTATGTGTTCTTGCTAATAACATCCTTGCTGTTTTAATCATGACAGTTGTGTTGTTTGAACTTAAAGTAACATGTTTCCTCTTCTGCAACCAGATTGACTTTAAAAGAGCTGGAATATATTTTACTTGGGAGCATGAATTAATAACTGTTCTCACATTAGTATGGCTATTGTATGCAAATAGCTTTGGCCATCCTTATGAAACTATACAGATGACAAATATCTTTGAGCATCCTGGTCATGGAAATCCCACTTGCTACTGAGAAAGCACTAAAGACAAAACTTTAGAAAAATGATCCAGAGCTCAATAAATAACTATGATTCCCATCTTCCTCTCTCTCCATCTCTTGGTTGTGAATCAACCATTTGCAAACTTGACCTTTATGCGACTTATAGTTGCATTGTAACTGTAGTCCTAGTCTTCTAATCTTCCATATCACCAGAATCTATTTTATTCCAAAAGAATCTTTCAACTGTCAACATGTCATCTTATAATTGTAGTTGATTTACCATTTCGCTCCCCACCACACCCCTGCCCAAGACTACTGTGGAAATACAGTATTGGTAGGTTCTGTGCTTCATCACCAAGCATAAGTTAATTATTTAACTTCAAAGTTAACCTGTTGCATTGGCAAAAAGTAATGATCAGAGCATGGCTTAATGCAGCTTAGCTAACCTGTATGTTATTGATCTAAAATTGCGTATATGAATGCTTGTGATATTCTGCAATGGCATCACACTGAAATTCAACTTTACTGTTGTAGGAATTCTAATTATTCTTTTCCTCTCTTTCTTCTGAATCTCTCATTTGTTTTGGTTTGACTGCATGTCTGCTTTTTGCTTTGGCTCTTTTTGACTACTTTCTACCCAGGCGAAGACTTGGAAAGGAATGATGGATCTACAGCAAAACCTTACTACATGTCAGCTAGTCTGCACCGGATTTTGGGGAAGAAAGAACTGAGTCCCAAAAAGTTAATGGGATGATGCTCAGAATCGCAACAGTGATAGTTTTAAGGAAGAGGGGAAAAAAGCAAATTTAAAAGCAAGATGCGTATAATTTAGACAAAAGATTTTTTTAAAGTATGATGCTTCTGGTTAATAAATCATTTGTTTTGCTTTGTACTATCTAAAAATAAGCAAATGGGCAACATTTTCAAAATGTCTTTTAACCGCTGTGAAATAAGGTCACATCATAGTTTTTATAGAGTGCCTAAGGGAAACGTGTAAATGTGAAGCTTCTTTTTTTTAACCTTTAGCTCTTAGTGTTTTAATAACTTTTCTAACTTGAGATTTTGCTGGCTGAAATGACAGCCATTTTGATAACTTTTTTTATAGGTGTATATTTGTAAAGGATATTCAGGCAATTTTTCAAAGCACTTCAATGTATCCTAATCAGCCATAAACATATCAAGATCATTGGTAACCAGCAGGTGGTCCTAAATTTGTAATGATGGTGCTACGGCTGCATTTTTACTGTGTGCTGATTGACAGCTACTTAAACTGTGACTAAAATATACTAATGGTTCCCTGGAAAGAAGGGCACATTGCTAATTCAGTTGCCTCCTAAAAGTTGAAATGGAGATAAATTGGGATCTTGCTGATTTATCTCAAAAAAAAATAAAATAATAATAGGGTAAAGATTCTTTAAATATCTTCATTTTTTTAAAAAAAGAATGTTATGCCAATGTCTATTATTCATTTTTTTTTAATGTAAGTCATGCAATAGCCCCTGTTTACCCACTAGATGCAATATTTATGAGTGCAGTTGCAAAATATTAATAATACTGGTAAAGATTGCCATAATTTTATATGTGCCATGCAAACATTTTTTTCTAGAAAAAAATATCCATAAAATAAAACCCAATATTAGTTTTTTTTCCCTACGGAAAAAATCCTTGTAAACAAACTTGGTCTTTCCTAACTTAGTCTTCTGGAGATCTGTTGGAGCTCTGTTCCAGCTCTCCCCACTAGTTCAACCTTTGTTCAGTGTATCTTTGGGAGAACCTAGGTTGAAGAAGGTTGATCTGATCTAAAACTCAGATCATTCGCTTTTTGTCCTAAGTTTTTCTCCTGCTGCTGCTGCTGCTTGACAAACACAGAGAATGAAGGATTATTTGCCTTTGTAGGTCCCTCTTACATTACTTATATGAACATAGGATAATTTTTCATTCAGAGAGAAAAGAAATGCGAGAGATGTAATATGAATGAATATTCCTTTAAGCTAAAGTAAAATAAAACTGGTCTTGAGTCTCATAAAAAAAGGCCTAATGAGTAAATATCAAACATTAGTATTCTTCATCATAAAATAGAATGCATTCCTGTGAAGAAAAATGCAATTTTCTTATTCATAACTGGAATTCAAAATGCAATTACATCATTAATCCCATTTTATATTAGTAAAAGCTGGAGAGCCAACATATTCTAAGCAGAGCTTCTTCACAGTCATGCTGCTTATTTAGGAGTCGTCTCGTTTGAACTTTTATTTCTGTTAAACATTAAAACAATGGGTAGCCTTAGTTAATGCTGTTTCTCCTGGATCATGAGAGGCTTGTGAAATAGGACATATTGTATTAAAAACACGTAATCATGAATTCCATTATCCCCTCATGACATTATCCTCTGTCATTAACACAGGGGTGATTGGCATCGGTTCTGATTGAAGCTTGTGTCCAGATTTGCACTGGCAATTCTATTTTTTTCCTCTAACTTATTGTACAAATGCCAAGCTTATTGTTCTAAAATTCATTCAATGGAACTGCCTAGTTCTACATTAAGCTGGACTTGGTTTTAAGATAATTCAACCAATATTAATTGGACTAATATAGAATCTTAGATGTTCTTCCCCCAGCATTTTAACTCTTCTAGTGCAAAGAAGAAAGTTTTTCTAGAAATCCATTCTGTTAAAAGGAACAACTTATTTCCAGATGAGAATATTTTTTTTTGACAAAAGTGGTTACATCATTTGGATTCCAAAACACCTGAGAGAGCTATCAATCTGGAATAAATTATATATAGGTACTCAGCTGAATGCCCATTTCAGTGAGTAGATGTACTCCCCACCCCACCCCAGACAAGTGTAATTCATCCAGATTTGCACACAGTTAGCCCTCAAGAAGGAGGGAATATTTTATTAATTCAACCAGTTCAGCAAAGACTGTTCTACAACAGGGGTCTCCAACCATGGCAACTTTAAGACTTGTGGACTTCAACTCCCAGAGTTCTTCAGCCAGCAAAGTTTTAAGTTTTGCTGGCTGAAGAACTCTGGGAGTTGAAGTCCACAAGTCTTAAAGTTGCCATGGTTAGAGACCCCTGTTCTAGAAGGCTGAGAAAGCTCTCTAGGACAACAGGAATGAGGCAGGAGGAACCAGGACGTGGTTAAAGTCATTTGCAGTCCCCCAGCAGGAGCATCCAGAAGAGTCTGCCTACCCTAATGGAATGGTCCTTTCCATTTTAGAGGAAGACAGTTTCATTCCCTTCTGTGCTACTAAAAGCAAATTAGTTTTCCTGCATGTAAATATACAAATCAAAAGATGAATAGAGCCTCTTAACTACAGCAATCACTGAGCAATCAAGTATTAGCAAACATCTATGTGGAATGTCTCTAGAAGGCAACTTTTGTCCATGGATAACTGGAGAGCAGATTGAATCATATACAATTCATTTTTTTTAAAAAAAACATGTTTTCCCATTGTAATGCCTGCTCAAACCTTAGATTATGGTTAGATATGAACCCAGCTAGCATGCTATCCACATGATGTTAATATCTTGGGATATAAAGTAGGCAAAAATGACTGACTTAGTCCTTGCTAAGCATGTCTTTGCATATTAAATTTTAGGATTAGTTAATTTATCTCAATGTTTTCAATTGAGATAAATTGATCATAATCATTTGAAAAACAGCAAGATTGCACTTTTAATTCACAATGCAACCATTAGACATTGTTAGGTGTCTTTAGGAATTATGAGGTATAACACTGGATTGTTTCTAGATAACTAGAACTGATTCTAACAGGAGTGACATTTGGAAAATGTTATACTGATTAAAACAGGGGCTTTGCAATCAATCCAAAGAAGCTAACACATAAAGGAGGAAAAACAAACTAAGAATTTGCCAAAGAAGTCACAAAATTACTTTTTTTCCACATGCAATCTTTATTCTGCCTGGTTTTTATTTAACAAACCATGATTAAACTAAACTGTGATTTAATATGTATGTGCACACAGCTGGTAGGCTGTACTTGAGAAGTAAACCCAGTGAAAAATATAATAGAGAAATGCCCTTAAGGGAAACATTCCAGATGTTCTGTTAACTAAGCAACTGGAAAAAATGTGAAAATGCTAAGCAATAGCACTGAAATTTGGCTGCCATTCAGCCAATTTGAAATGTTCCATAATGGCAAAGTTTACATCTGATAGGCAAAATTCCTGAATATCTTTCTCAGAAAATGAATGAGAATTAATGTGCAGACTAAGTAATAATTTATTTTTGAAAGGCAAATAGCTTTGAACTTTGACTGATGTGTTTCTTAATCCTTAGGACAAACTCTGCCGGTTTGTTATAGTGTCCATTTTATGCATATAGTGCTTTACCATAAAGCTAAAGCTTGATCAAATGCACTTCCTTGCTTTAGAGAAGTCATAATGTACTAGAGAAATCATTTCTTGATGAGATGATAACATTGAAATAGGCTTGGATCCTGCACTCCTTCGAGTCAAGAGCCTTCTTGATGGAACTGGTGCAGCATCTAGCCCACCTGATTCTAAAGGGCTGATTATATTATTGCACCAGTGTTTACAGTATAATAAATGCCAAAACATCCCATGTGTAATATATAGATATAGATATATAGATATCTCGCCAGGTGTTTGCTGTTGTGCACAAAAGAGCCAGCAGATGGGAGTATTGGATTGGTTTCATTTTTTGCTCTCTGCCTTTCTTCCTCCTAGTGGGAGATTTAGAAAGTCAGGATGGTTCTACCAAAAGACCTTATTACATGAGTAAATCTCTACTGAAGATACTCAACAAGCATAACATGCAAAGCAAGAGACATTAGAGAAGGTGGACTGTCCTGACCACACCACTGCGTTGGGTCTGGTGCATTGTTTCTGCAATACATTGTCAGCTTTTACTTGTGCAAGTTTTATACCAAAGCTATTGTACCTGTGAAACCATCTGAGTTTGTCGTGACACCAATCTTTAAAATTCCAGGGACAGAGGAAACATGAGAGATTTCTTTTTTATCTCTTCTCTCTCTCTCTCTCTTGATTTCTCTCTTTAATTACTGTGGCTTGGATGTTTTGGAGTGGAAGACTATTAAAACATTGGTTGTTGTTTTCTTTTATTTTTCTTCTTTTGAAAAAAAGGTATGAAATGTTTTCCTGTTAAAATTTTTGTCCTAGGTGAGTAAACAGATTTTTTTCAAAACAATGTTAAGAGTTTCCAAGGAAGAAAACCTGTAAATGTCCTTTTTCAATATATATGGTCAAAGAATATGTAAATGTCTCTTGACTGCATTTCAAGTTTTGTCACTTTCCTACCCTGTACAGCTGTGTGCTCCAATACAAAGTGCCTTACTGGCTATTGGTATCAACTAGTTTATGTTCCAAAATTTACAAGCACCATTTGAACCATTAATCTACTATTGCTTGAAACAAAAACTCTCTTTCTATTTACTTGAAAGTATTGGTACAAGTTTGGTTGGTTTATGTAGTTGCAAGTGTGATAAAATCTGTATTTTCCCACCTCTAAAAACAAAGCAGTGGGCAATATAACATTTAGGGGAATAGATTTTTCAGCCTAGTTTATCCAGCTTGATTTATAATTCAGGATACTGAGTCTGCTGATTTTCCACTTCAACATGTGCTGCAACCCACATATAAACCTGTTTTCTGGGGTATTTATTCAACTTCCTCTATCCAGGAGATCAGAAATAGGCATGCCAACTTTTCAGCCAGGTGAAAGTGGCAATCTGAGTGGCAATTTGATCCATGACAATTAACAACAAATATTTATTGCCCTGCTAAGAAATATTACCAGATGATCCTAATTTTAGAAAGTCTTTCTTAACAAAAAAAGGAGTAATTAGATAAAACAAATTATAAAGAAAAACTTCCAGAGCAATGCCTAGATCTGCACCCCACTTTCCCCCAATCTAACTAGGGTGGCATCAACTCCAAGATAAGCCAATCCAGCTTCTCCCATCCCATGTCACAAAGCCATATCAGCACTGGTATACATAGCTGCCAGAAGCCACATGACAGAAAGAGCAGACCCAAGATTTTCTTTCAAAAAAACTGTAATATTATCCACTGATTAATATTGCCTGTAAATTAAGGTATATAGCTAGTCCTCAACTTATCATCATTCATTTAGTGGCTGTTTGAAGTTACCCTAGCACTGAAAAGAGTGGCCTATGACCAGTTTTCACACAACCACTGCAGCCTCCCCATAGTCACGTGGTCAACATTCAGGCGCTTGGCGACTGTCATGTATTTTATGAGGGTTGCGGTGTCCCAGGGTCATGTGATCACCAGTTGTGAACTTCCTAGCCAGTTTCCAACAAGCAAAGTCAATGGGGGAAGCCAGACTTACCCATATG